ATATATATATATATATATATATATATATATATATGTATATATTATATTATATAAACGACTACATCCTAGTCATACTTCTATATGCAGTGTTGAATCTAGGATTTTTAAGAAAATACCGCATCGCGGTGGTGGTGAAAATAGGTCCGGCCGCGATATTTGTGTTTACAGCGCTGCGATTTTCTTACCGCCATCGCCACCGCATCGCAGTGCGCGCGCCGATTATGCTATTGATCCATTTTACCGCTACCACTACCGCCACCGCTACCACTACCGCCGCCGCGGCAGCGTGCGCGAACCTACCGTTCATAACCGCACACTTTACATCGATCAATACCGTATGAGTCCCAAACAAAATCTTTTTTTTATCCTGGGACTTACTTGAGGTGATGTTGCATAGCAAATCGGTGGATATTTTCGTTTTAACTGTCCGGAGTGAGTGACCTCACTCGGTCTCGAGGTGCACTCATGTTATTTTAGATAAATGTATACATAATTGATATATATATATAAATTTGTGCGGTATTAAACGGTTTGATTTGGCGAAAATATGTGGGATATAAAAAATATAAAAGTGTGCGGTTATGAACGACGCCCGTGCCGTGTGTATCGCCGACACGGCAGCTGCAACAAGTCGGACTCGCAGCGGGAATGAAACGAGGGTATGGACGCCAACGAGTCGGGAATTTCTTTGTGAATACAGCTGCACGTATAACGCGTACACAGCTATCACATGTATAGGGCATTGTTATTCTTCTTATAATATTATTATTATTGTTCGTATAGCACTTTATTCATGAAACATTATACTCTTCGCGGAGTTGTCATACTGGTTTCGTTCAAGAATAACAACGATCAAATTACTGGATACGTGAACATAACCTGTGCAGCCATATTCTTCTTCTAACAACTAATCCCGTACTGTTTCATATATTTGTATCCTCCGCATTGGTTTTTATATCGTTTCATTGTTGCCACATGAGGCGATGGTCAAGAGACTGCGAACATCGTAATTTAACATACATGGTATCGGATAAGAATAGGATTAGAACAAAAATACTTACTTTAAATTTGAAATTATATAACTATAATTATAATATTTTGAATTAAAATTTGAAGGGGCTCTTTTTTTATTATTGCACATGGGCCCATATTTGGAATGAACCGCCACTGGTCGCGTCGTTATTAAATTGCGTCGTTAGTGGATCCCCATTAACTTTGATAGGAAACCGCTCGTATCGCAAAAATCGTGTCGCGTTACAATCACCTCGTGTGCGGACGGCCTAATATTAAAGCTAACATCACTACATTTGAATCATTGAACGTAAATTTACTATATTGTACGTATATTAGATAGAGACAACACATGCAGGTGTGGTCCTCTTAATATTATTTTTATCGGATATCGTTGTCGTCGGAATTTTGGGGAAAAATTTATATCCACACTGTCACACTATATTACTAATTTGACTGTATATTAATAATCCTATGCTGTTATTATGAAAATCTGTTTTTATTAAAATTTAGTGGACATCCATTAACATTTTTTTAAAGTAGACTGATTAATAAAAATAAAAAAATTGCCTAAAAATTCAAATGGATGTAGATGCATATGTCTATATATTTAATATTTAGAAGAGGTACTATAACTTTTTCACCTATTATAAGAGCGGAAAATTTTTGGTACCTATAGCCCTAAAAAAATAAATCCGCTTCTGTTAATTACTCAATCATAATAAAATTATTTTTAATTATCAAAATAATGCGTTAAATTACGATAAATGCATATGTTATTATGAGGAATTATATTTTACAATATTATTAATATCACTTCCTCCGGTAATGTCATTAATTCAAAAAACACACACACGCTTCACATGAAGAGGGGTTCCCGGGTCTTGGCCCCACTCAAAAAAGTTCAAAAGTCATCAATTACTTGTTACGAAAGTACAGAAAAAAAGAACATTAAATTTATATCATATGGTTATAAAACTTTTCATTTTTATTTATAATAGTAATAGAATAATATAATTATTAACTAATACCTTATACATATTTTTATATTATAAAATCATTCGTTTTTTAGAAGAATTATAATTCCTCTTCTCCGGACAAAAAATTGAAAATACGCCACTATTACCTAAATATATACGTCCTTATATATATTATATACATTCAAATTATACGTCATACATCAAACCTTCTTTTGAAAATCTTATGTAGTGTGAAATTATATTTTCTTAATGGTAAAATTTGATTTCATTTTAAAATACATGCATTTTGAAACGTATCTTGTTAAAGATTAGGGGTTGTTAGAGGGCTAACGGCTTTAAAACGTGTTGTTTGTGATATTTATGGTTTAAGGTATTAATTATTTTTGGTTGTTATTGTTTTATGGTAGGGTCTTAGGGGCACTGTTTGTAAATGTCGGTTGAATGGTCTTAAGGGAAAACACGCATAGTGTTAGATGGATAAATTCAAATTATATAACAGTACAACAATATTGTATCGACACGGTTTTCATATTATAACGGATGATTACAATTTACTTAAATTACAAATACAATATATATATATCGATGACAAAACATAGAATAAAGACTTGATCTGGACGCCGCGTCGATCTGCCGATGGCCAAAACCAAAACCCTTTGATGTTCTCCCGGTTGACGGAACCAGCCGTCGCCGTCGGCCAAACTGGTTGTGACTGTCGCGATCTTGCGGACGTCGACAGACACGCCGCGGTCGTTGTGATAACGACCGTGACAATATTGTACCAATATTATTCTCATCGGAATACCCATACGTGTAAGCACATATAACAAACTGTACGTACAGTCCATGTTATAGACACTATACTATAGATATCGATCGAAACATTGGAACGTCTAAAGGTGCGTTTACATTAGGCCGCGAACGCGAACGAACGCGAATGATTTCTACCGAACACATTCGTACGCGAATTCGGCATAACTGTTTACATTACTGTGTTCGGAACTGTTCGCCACCGCTCGGGCTTGTTCTCTAGAATTCGTTTTGAACCTTGAAATTTGTCTTTCAAAAACTGCATCGCTTTAAAAGCATACCATTTGGAACGAAACACTTCATCGGTTCCAGCGCCGGAACGGCTTGTGCTTCCTTCAATGCGACGTTCCCTTCTGTATGATGCTTGTAAGCTATCCATTTTCCTCCTCACTTCATTGACATTTCTATTCATTTCTGTAGCTATTTCAGACCAATAGTCGATTTTTTTTTTGCCATCTTATATTGGCTATTAGTCGGATCCCATAAAATTGGTCTGGCTTTAAATAAATCAATAAGAAGTAGACACTCTTCATCCGTCCAATCCATTATTTTAATAATATAATATTATAATTATAAAAAAATAATAAAATAAAACTAATATAATATTATAATTATTAATTAAAAAAAAACGGCGGTGCGCGTGGTAACCGTCTCGAGCACGACCGAATTAGAAATGACGGCCGAATATCGTTCGAACCTTTAAGGTGCGTTTACATTACGGCCGCGAACGCGAACGAACGTGAATTCGGCTTACTAACGATTAAGTGTAAACAGTACGCCGAACGCGAACGAACGCGAGCGAACGGCCATTCGTACCATTCGTTCGCCTTCGGAGCGGTTCGATCGGTTAGCGGTAAGATCAAAAGAAATGACATTCAGTGTGAACGTGATTCGGCCCGTCACAACCGATTCGCTTGTGTTCACATTTATACTAAACAGTATTTTGAAACTCAAATTCCGAGCGAAGGCAAGCGAATGCTGACGAATGCTGAAGAACGAACACGAACGAATAGTCTGCACGGTGGGACCGAATCTTTACCGAATCCGCGTTCGTTCGTGTTCATTCGCGTTCGTTCGCGTTCACGGCCGTAAACGCACTTTAATTTGATATATTATCAAAATAATTTGATATATTAATGATTATATTATCTGCGACGACATACGATTTATAGCGGTCAGGTTTATCTATTTTTTTTTTCTTTCATGTGGGTTTCTTCTGGGACTATTTTCAGTTTTTCGATGAGCAACTCATACGTTTAATATTAGACAGTATTTCAACGAAAACAATTGCAAAAAAATCTGCAACTTCCTAATAAAAATTAATCTTATTAATACTATTTAACGTAGTGAAATCTAAACCTTGTTCATAAGCAAACCTTTTACTACTCTTTAAACGCACACAGACATCTGTATATAAAAAATGACTTGTCCTGAGTGATTCATCGTCACCTAGCTGGAACTGCTGAAGCTATGAATATAACATTTAGACAGTAGTTTTGCTTTGTGATGTAGACACCCTCTAAGAAAGGATTTTTCAAAATTCAACACATAAAGGGGTTAAAAGGGTTAAAAGGGGTAAAAATTAAAAAAATCCTTATATATATATAAAATAACAGGTTTTTTTTTTTTGTTCCAATTTTGTGACGACATTATTTATTATTTTTCCAATTTTTTTCACAGTATTGTTCCAAATAATTTCTTGAGTTTCACTACGTCATCCGATTTTTCATTTTGTTTTTCGGAGAGAAGAGAGGTAGGGATTGTATTTTTATGTTCCAATTTTTCGACCATACAATTTTAAATTATTCCATTAAATGTAAATATTAACAAGTAAAATTAAAGACTAGTTAAATTTTTCTTTTGAATAATAATCATTTATAAATTAAAATTTTTTTTTTCACTCTATTTGTATACCAATCGAAATTTAATACATACCTATTGTTTCAAATAACCCGTTGAAAAAGTTTTCGTTTGGTCTAACGCTGTGTCCAATGTGAACGTGGCGAACGCGGCAAAGGCGTTGTAAAGGTACGGTTTCCAAACTGCGGCTGGCCGCAGCGGCTAGCCGCAACGATCAGCCGTAACGACTAAACGTTGCGTGCCGACTGGTTTCCTAAATACGACTAGACGTTGCGGCCGGAGTTCATTTTACCCTAATATTGTGTAGAGTACAGACGTGTTTTTTGGTAAATAATTTATTTATTATACTAGTTTTGTTGCTAATTGTTAGTTTGTTAACAAAGTATAGTGATGGAAGAAGTTATTGATAATATAATATAATATCTTTATGTATTCGTGGGAGCTATCATACAATACGGATTGCTTCTCAACTTCTTCCACCAAAACTTCATCATTGTTCGACGAAAATGTAGATTTTGACATAGTTTTTAATTAAAATGCAAAAAATACAATGAAACACTATATGACACGCACCACGACTCACGCAATGTACTGCTACCAGACCACTATAGCCGCGAGCCGCAACGACTATTTAAATCACGTAATCGTCGATCGCACGTTGGAAACCACGCTCCGCAATTTTAAATAGCACAGTCAGACTACGTGTGCCGTTGCGGCTAGCCGCTGCGGCCAGTCGCAGCTTAGAAACCGTACCTTAATGCGGGCGACGCGGCGAATAAAATTATCAAACATATAAATGTAGATTAGATTGTCCAACGTAGGCGATAAACGCGGGCGACGCGAACGAACTAATTCGTTCGCGTTCGCCGCATGGTTTGAAAATCAAATTGTTTTGTTTTTGGTCGCGCGTTTAAGCGAACAGACGTCAAAATATTTCTATTACAATTTACGATTTATTATTATAAATGATTTTTTTAAAAATTTTTATACGACTATTTTATGATACGAATAGGTAAACGGGTAATATATATTATTAAATTATAATATATAGTATTTTAACTATAATAGTATTATATATTTATATATTAGATATTGTTGTATGATCAATATGGAGCTCATTATATCTGAGGTACAAAAAATGAACGTGTTCTTTGGAATAAATGTAATACAAAGTATATTGAATATTTAAATTATAATATCTTATTTTAACTTTTAAATATAGCTTATTGTTGTCAGTGTTACGAAAATAACTAGGTACACTAAAATTACTGGCCGTGATCGAGCTATTTATCTCGCAATGTTTGAAATAAGGTATATTTATAGTTTATCGTATATTTATATTTATACTGTATTATTGTAAACAATATAATAATTATTTTTCAATAACAGCTGAAACATATTGTAGCCACTATATTTTGTATAATATAATTTAGTATTCGACCGTCTCGACGTCTCGTGTAACGTGTTGTTTTCTGTTGTTCTGTTTTAAGCATTTTTGTATTGAAAAATGCCTAAAAATAAAACTTCGACTAGTGCTCGTTTACGTGCGTTTGTGTCAGAATTCGGAAGTGATATTTTTTCGACTGATGGATATATACATTTTTGCAAGATATGTGACGTTAAGGTTGCCGCAGATAAAAAGTTCACTGTGGAACAACACGTGTCACGTCAAAAGCATATACACGGTATTGAGCGCAAAAATTTACAAACTGAAAAATCAAAAAATCAAAGTTTACCGACACAACCATCTGGAAAATGTACATTTAATTATGATTTGTGTCAAGCCCTTTTATCGGCTAATATTCCGTTGAATAAATTATCCAACGATGGTTTTCGTAATTTGTTGGAAAAATATACAAGCAAGAGTATTCCCGTCGAATCGACATTGAGAAAATCGTATGTTGCCCAATGTTATGAAGAAACAATGAACAATATAAAAAAGTATTGTGAAAATCAAAAACTGTGGATTTCTATCGACGAAACCACAGATGTGGAAGGCCGGTATATCGCGAATGTAATTATCGGTACGTTAGAAATTGGATGCCCAGGAAAAATATTTTTACTTCACACAGAAGCACTGGAAAAAGCTAATCATACCAGCATTGCTAAATTATTGGATAAAGCACTTCATCTTTGGTGGCCTCAAGGGATTAAATATGACAATATTTTGCTGTTTTTGAGTGATGCAGCGCCATATATGGTAAAGGCTGGTAAAGGCATAAAAATAATGTACTCTAAAATGGAACATGTCACCTGTTTAGCTCACGGATTACACAGGGTTGCAGAAGAAGTTCGTAAATATTTTCCTAAAGTTGATCAATTAATATCTAACGTAAAAAAATTTTTTTTAAAGTGTCCTGCCCGTATTCAATTTTTTCGAGAAAAGGCACCGAATATTTCTTTACCGCCACAGCCTGTATTAACTAGATGGGGGACGTGGCTAATTGCCGCAAATTATTATTGTGAACACTTCGAAACTTTAAAAGAAATAATACTTGGTTTAAATAGAGAAGACGCTACATCGATTGAGAAAGCTCAAGATCTCATGGACGATTGTGATTTGAAAAGTGACTTGATATACATTTACTCTAATTTTGGAACATTGAGTGATTCTATAACTCAGTTAGAAACATTTGGGCTTAGTCTTCACCACTCGATAAAAATTGTACAAGATGTAGAAAATAAAATTTAACAAGCAGGAAATAGAGTAGGACAAGATATTAAAAATAAATTAAAATCTGTTTTGGATAAAAATACTGGCTTTAAAACAATGACGACAATTTCAAAAATTTTGAATGGTGAAAAAGTGTCGAACCAAAACTTTCCAGACGACCTCAATAATTCCGATATTGCTCATTTTCAATTTGCACCAATTACATCAGTAGATGTAGAAAGAAGTTTCTCAAAGTATAAGAATTTACTTTCGAACAATCGCAGATCATTTACTATAGAAAATATCAAACATACACTTATTGTTCAATGTAATAAATTTGATTAGGTTATTTAATTAGGATCATTTTATATTTTGTTTTAAATATTTTTGCAGGATATTTATGGTTTATATTTAAATAACAATTTTTAACAAGATATTAAATAAAAGGTTTTTTTTCTTAAAAATATAAAATAAGTCATTTTTTTGCATTTTTTAGTTAATAAAGTTATTTTATTTTATAATTTGACAATTGTTGGGTCATTTTTTAAGGTTCTTTAGGTCATCAACTTCCGAGCCCTACTCATAATAATTGATTGTGTATCGAACGCTGTGTATCGTATCGTATAGAAAAGTTTGTAATAAAGTCAGTATTTATACAGTGGTTAAGAAGAGTTTGAATTATATATTTTTATTTTTTTTTTTAAATGGATTGAAATGAAATACGAATAAAATTTAATAACACAATTTCATTATAAATTGAAAGAAAACATAATGACAGTAACTTTTTTTTTTTTTTTTCATTTATAAGGAACATTGCGAACGATACAAAGAAATAAAGCAGTCCAAAAAGACGTTATCTACAGCCGGAAAAAAGAAGTGTACAAAATATTATAAGAACCCACGTCGTAAGTATGCATTTATTGCTATCAATGGTAAAAATCGTTTTATTAAAACTATGGCCAATGTTACGAAGAGTGTGCGTTATTATATAAAAAATGAAGAGCTTTTCGATATAATTAATTCTAGTCTGGACAATTTATATTTTGTACTTTAGTACTTATGTATATATCGATTATTTTTTACTATAAAAAATATTATTGATATATAATATTATATAATCATAGGCAGTGCTCGACTTGGCAAAATTAAAAAGGGGGACTCTATTTACTTTAAAAAAAAGAACGTCCCCAAAACTGGCTGAGCGTTATGGTTATAGCGTAATATTAATAGAGGGACGCTAAAATTTCTGAAAATTAGTTAGGATACTCCGTCTCCTGTGTCCCTCTTCAAGTCGAGCACTGATCATAGGTTCATATGTATGTACATATACAGTAGCGCACACTCATTCTTACTGACATGGGTCGATCATATTATATTAATACCGACCAACCACATGTTTACCCATAAACATTAGCAAAGCAACTCCAATAAAGGTAACTATAGAGCTTGAGGTAGTGGAACTTAGCACTTAAGGCATGAGCCTAGATCTTATCAAGTTTCATTTGTTCAAAATTAAAATAACATTTAGAAAATTGAAAATATTTTTAACCACCCAATTTTTTTCGGGGGTTCGATTTACCCCCTTGACCCATGAGGTGTGTGCCCCTGTACATATTATGTATTTATAGCATAATTGTAGGTAACTACGAAATTGGAATTATTCGGGAAGTACCCATGTAGCTGATTGAGATTTTATTATTTCAATTATATATTGTGATATTATTATCGTTTTTCATTTCAGTTTACACCCTTAGTTTCATTTAGTGGTGATTGTGTATTCATGTAGACTGTTTAACGTAAACATTTTATATTTTTATAAATAATATGTTATTATTTTTTTTTCTTAATATTTATGAGTAAGCTGAAAAAAAGTCGTTCTGTTAATCCGGATTTTCAATAACTCGGATAAATCCCCAATCCTATCTACTCCGGATTAGCGAGACTACTGTAACAATATTTTCGAAATAATAAAATAAAATGTTGCTATAAAAATAACATAGTACTCCCAAATAAATACTATTCTGAGTTTATTGAAGATTAAAAGATTTTCTTTTTATATGACAGTGATAAAAAATATGTGTAGATAGATGATAATAATATTTATTTATCATATGGAACTAAATAAACATGTAACTAATGACATTTTTATAAAGTGTTATGTTACATATTGTGTTTATTCTGCGTCATAAATATTTAGACGTCGAATAGTTCTTTTGTGTGACTATATCGTCAGATGAGACTATATGATTGGAGGGCGAATGAATAATATTGCTTTATAAATATTTTTAATTTGAAACCATTGTACCATTGCTCTCAAAAAATGATTGTGAATGAAAGAGGTTGAGTGGAACATTTTATAATTCTAATGATAGTTAATACAACGTATAATAGAAGAACCAAATTTCTTAAAGTCAGGTTAAACCTTGAGTAATCAAAATTTTGTAGAAAAAATTTGCTATTTTTTTATATATTTTCATCAGTTTTCACAATTATTTGGAAAACTATTGGACCAATCGTTAAATTACCACCTAAAATCTTTTTCCTACATTTTACTTTTTATTTGATGATGATCGGAGTAATCTTTCTAGTCGAAATCGTCTACACAGACACGAAAAAAAAATAGATTATGATTAAAGAAATAGTTCACTCACAATTTAAAATAATAGTAATGTTACATTAATAGACATTCCACAAAAATTCATGTGGAGTCACATTGCTTTACATATTAAGCGGAATAATTGTAGGACAATCGACTAATCGTTTTTGTTCTAAAATCAGTTTTACGGCATGGCACGGCGTGAAATTACCATGCAAACAATAGCCTGAATTCATAGATCTGAATGTACAAGCAGTGGTGGTATAGAGTCAAATTCATAATAAATAATCTAATTATAATGATAAGTGGCATATTCAATAATAATAATAATAATAATAATTCTGTGAATGGAGTTTACATCGTTCAATGTTATATCATATATAACTACATTAAAATTATAATATATAATATTTTATTTTGTAATAACTAATAAATATTAATAACCTACTTGGTGCAAAGCAAGTATTTTAACAAAATGCGTAATTTTAGATGCGTCTGAGTGGATAATTATTATCATTTATTATATCTTTATATATATTTTTATCGTTATTAGAAATTATTATATGATAAGATGTATACCTACGTCTTTGATAAGAACATTTTAGTAAACGAAATATGGAAAGCACTGACGTTGTTAACACGATGGAAAATATTACGGAGTGTTTAGTGAAAAGGGTAACATTTTATTAGTTTTAAATAATTATACTTTTTATAAAGATCGCATTATACAAGCTAGTGTAAAATGGCGATGTACATTAAAGTCGTGTACGTCAAAGCTGTTTTTAAGTGAATACGAAACGATGCTTTTAAAATCGGTTATCGAACACAAAAACATTCGCCGCTTAAAAATTTAACTAATTTGTGGGTATACTGTTCAAATTGGTTTGGAAAAAATTATAAATTATTAAAATGTTTGGACGATGTGGTGTGTCGTCCATACGCTTGTGGCATACGTTTGCGTGGCTTAACATAATATATACAATTTTGTATAAAGTAGTCTGGGCGATAACAATTTTTTTTATACTTACTTTATGTACTTTATATTTTTATATTACTTTTTTATATGTATTTTTTTATTCCCGGCGTTTTAGCTCGGAAAAAACAGACAATCCATAGTGTGTTATCAATTATTATTTTTATACAAAGAAACATTGTGTTACTTATCGGTTTTATTGGAGTTTATATTGATTTATTAAAGGTTAAGAACATCCTAGTCGAGTTATCGCACAAAGTAATAATGTTAATGTACACTGTTCTATAACACATAAAGTTCTCTGCCATAAAATAACGGTGTTGGTAACCGGTACACAAAAAAAAAAAAAAAAACTATTGAGCAGTAACAAAAAAAAATATTTAAAAAATATTTTATAGCCAAAAACATTTCTTTGCCAATCTATATATTACTATGAATTTGGAAACTACCCATAATACATGTGTACAAACAAAATCATCGCCACAAAGACTTTTGTTAACCTTCTGTATGTAATACATGAGTCGGGTATACATTTGCACGTGTAAACCTGTGGATCTCATAATTTGTTCTGCAGCCGCGCGAATGCCGTTTTCACCCCTCGTCACTACATTTCAAACACCCTCGGTAAAAAAAAAATCGAATACACGACCACAGAATATGCACTGTGGTCCTTTATTGCTTCTCTACAGGATGGCCTAGCATGTTTTCCCTATCACTGTAAATATTATTTATTTTTTTCGTTTTTTTTTGTAGTTTTATTTATTTTATAATTTATCATGAAAAAAAATAATATCTAGGTAATTCATATCGCTATTTAATCGCTCGATTGGCTATGAAAAAGTTTTTGGTTTCATAAAATTGCTAAATAGCTATTTTATACGTGGAAAATGGATACATCAAATATGAAAAACCAAAAATTGGTTACACAGTTATGTTATTAATGTATGATATATTTTGAAAAGAAGCAACATGAAAAGGTACAATGGTTATTAAAATGAATAAGCATAAAAATTAGATAATTTTTATCTCTTCCGGTCACACTAATGCCTTTATTTACATATAATATGTACAGGCAACGTCTTACAAGTTATCTTATTTAGATTATGTAAATCAAAAATGTACAAAGTCCGTTTTGTGTGTTAACTTCCGACGTATTCGGATCCGTTTACAAAATCTATAATGCGTCTGGCTAATCAATTAAATGAATTTTTATATTAATTATTTTATTAATATTTAATATATAATGTTCTATATTAATTACTGCGCGATTACAAAACTAAATGGAGTTGCAATTATTTACTTAAATTTTGCTATGTTTGGCCTTTTATTATGAACAACACTATTTAGGAATATAATTTATAAACACATAGTGATTGAGTTGAATATTTTATAAATACGCATTTGCATTTATTACAAAACGACTAATAAAAACCATTTTGTTGGCGAAATATTAAAATTGATAAAGAATTGAATCGTTTATAATGATATGAAGCTATATTTTAGCACATATGCCAGTAAATTTTTTCTGCTACCCTCCAAATATTTCTCGTAGTATTCAAAATTCTAATTTTATACATCACATCGTAGTCAATATAAAGTATTCATGTTATATTTTTAATTCGTGGATTTAATATTTTTACGATTATATAGGTAAGTTTTGAACTTATCTCACTTGATTTTATTATACATATTAATATATTTTAAATAATATATATAATAAATAATATATTTATACAAAAGGAATTTATAATTTGATTTTTGATATCTATAAGTGTATAAGTATTAATTAATAAAACTACTTTCAATCATGTTTATTATAATATTAAATACGGTCCTTGATAAAAAGCTGAAAGTAATATGGCCCACGTAAGGACTGCTATATTAACAAATACAATTTAAAAAATAATATATTACATATTTTCTAAAACAAAGAAGCAGTCATATGTTATTATTTGAACTCAGATTTATTGGTTAATAACTATTTCTTATCAAACTCGATTCATATATTCGAGTTGTATAAATAATTTTGGAAAAAATTAACTTTGAAACTTTTCTTATTATAACCATTACTAAAATTACAAAAATATTTTGTTCAATATAAAAATTATTATAGAGAAATTTATTATACTTCCAAAAACAGTGATGAGTGTTCCATCAATTTGCATATCGATTGATTTTAATTAAAAACAAAAAATTATATATCGAGCTTTGTTTTAAACTACATATTTTCCCATTTTCCATATGAGGCGCATAGAAATAGAACAGCCTAACCTACAAAAGTTGTGATTGTGCAGGACGGGCATTTCAAGTTTTGACTATTTTTCATTTTTTTTTTT